TATATATATATATATATCTGTGTGCACACGTTTGTTTCTCAATTCATGTCTCTTTTCTGATTTATTTATGTATTTGTATATTTCTGCGCTTATTTATATGTAGATATAGTGTGCGCGTAGACGTGTATATACATGTACATATACACACTCACATGTATGTATAGCCAGCGAGCGAGAGAAGAGAGAGAGAGAGCGCTTAGTACTAGAAGACAGCCCTACGACACTGACACTGCTGCTTGCTGGAAAGTCGCCCAGTCCATGCACGCAGACAAAGGGAGGTCACAAACAAAGACTGGAACAACTTCGTGATTCGTGCGTGGCATACTGCCGTGTGACAACCCGATTCGTTCAACAACGTTCATTGCTCACTCCGAATCCAACCCTATTGGATTTGGAACCAGTTCCCTTCAGCCTAAACACTCAACCCTAACCCCCAACCCTGACCCCTAANNAACCCCAACCCCTACACCCCAAACCCTAAGCCCTAAAATCCCTAAACTCCTAACCCTACTTGGAGGTTCATGGGTAGTTATAAGTGGGGTTATAAGTAGGGTAACTATAGTGATAACCCATATTGGGAGACTTATAACCCTACTGATAACTACCCATGAGCCTCCAAGTAAGCCCTAAACCCAAAGCCCAAGGGAAGACTCCGCTCGGTTCTGGGACTCTTAACTTGCCCAGAGACCCCCAAATCCCTCAGATAAGGCATAGACTTTAAACTATAAGGGGTTTAGGGTCTAGGGTTTAGGGTTCCTTATTATGCTGTAAGGTCTATTCCTTAATTAAAGGGTTTAGGGTTAAGGGTTCCTTATTCTGATGTAAAGTCTATTCCTTAATTAAGGGGTGTTTAGGGTTTAGAGTTTAGGGTTTAGGGTTCCTTATTCTGATGTAAAGTCTATTCCTTAATTCAGGGGTTTTGGAGTCTCTGGGTGAGCTCGAAGCCACCTCATCGTCGCTGCGCTCCGCTGGGGCACCGTCGTGGTCGACGAACTTGGCAGTCGAGGACCTTGGTTTAGGGTTTAGGGTTTAGGGTTTAGGGTTTAGGGTTTAGGGGTTTAGGGGTTTAGGGGTTTAGGGTTTAGGGTTTAGGGTTCAGGGCTTACCCATAGGCCCCATAGCAGTTCCTTTTTGGGGTTCATATTTAGAATCCTATAAGGTAATCCCAAAAAAGGAACTACTACGGGGCCTATGGGTAAAGACATAAAAGTTTATGGCTTAGGGCTTGAAGGCGTAAAGTTTTATGGTTTAGGGTTTAGGATTTTATTCAGGCTAGTTCACATAATACGAAGTCCTTGTCATGCATCATGGTAACATAGCAGTGAGTAAGGTCCTAAGCCCTGAAACCCTTCAGCCCTGATCCCGTAATTAGATCCTCCAGCCTGCAGCTCAACCCTGAAAATCCCCAAACCCTCAACTTTCCTAAACCCTAAACCCTAAACCCGACGCCCCTAAACCCTAGACCCCTATCCCCTAAACCCTGAAGCCCAAACCCCTAACCCCTATATAAACCCCTAAACCCTAAACCCCAAACCCCGGAGCCCTAAAGCCATAAACTGAAGCTCCTAAACCCTAAACCCCAAACCCAAGAAGAGCCCTGAACCCTAACCGGCTTTTAGGCTTTTCCTGAAGTATGTGTAATAGCAGCCCGTGATAGGTATTGGGCCATGATTATAACTAACTGGGGGGGGGGGGGGGGGGGGTAGGTTGGGCCTAAGAAGAGCCCAGAGACCGCTTGACGTCGTACTTCCGATGTGAGCGGCAGGACTCAGAGCTGCAATCCACCGATGGGAGGAAGAAGTGCCCAGAGCCTTAAACAAAAGGCTCTTTAAGGGGCGTTTTGCTACTATAACTATCAAAAGTCGGGTAGTTTGGTTTGCTGGTGGCTATAAGGGCTAGGTCAAGGTTGGGGTACTCTGTCAGCTTGTACTTAGATGTAAATCAAACCAGGGTTTTGAGCAACAGCCAATATACGAACAAGCCCAAAACCCAAAACCCCTAAACCCAAAACCCTAAACCAAGAAGTCTACCGCTTCCAATCTGAACTGCCAGGGACCTGTGTCAAAGACAACCGAGAAGTTCTGCGTCTCTCGAAAACCGACGTAGATCTGACCAGAGTATGCTGTCTTGTAGGACACGACGTTGCCGTCACGTCGTATGGGAACATACTGCTTCTGCAGGGGTACCATAAAGAGTGACTCCAGGTCTGATCCAGCTGTAGTAGTTGCAAGCAGCGCAGCCAGGAATGCAGCTCGAGACTGCATGGTGTATGGAAAATTCAATATCCGGAGTATGAAATACTGTTAGGGTTTCAGTATCTGAGCCAAGCTTGAGGTGCTGCGGACAGAGGGAAGAGCACCAACAACTAAGCCCACGATGGTCTAGCCCTAGAAGCCCGAACTTAAACTTGCGACCTTGCACGGTGGTTTTGCAAGTAGCCCTTTCCCAAATGTTCCCTAAACCCTGAACCCTAAACCCCTAAACCCTAGGCCCTAAACCCTACAGATTTTGAGACTAGGCCCTTTTGGACAAACTGAAAACCCAATCAAAGTCCAAGCAGACACTGCGTGGGGTCCCTGAAAAGTTTGGGACCTGAGCGAACTCTGCTTGGATGCCTCAGTGCTCATGGGCTCTAAACCCTAAACCTTTAAATTGCTGGGTTGTCCCTTGATGAGCTAAACCCAATTAAGCTAAACGCAAAACATCTCCAATGGCCTGCCCGAAAACATCTACGAGATTGCTACATGGAGTGGACCCCAATGGAGGCCCTAAGTAGTGGGTTCCGGCCACCAAAGCAAAATTAAGAGAGCGACCTCAAAATCTCCTGGGCCCAGAGGTGAGGATTAGTTTCAGGATTAGGTTTTACCTAAACCCCTAGAAGCATGACTCATAATGGCCCAACTTCTATAAAATGCTTTTGGGGTCCAGGTAGGTAGGTTTCGGGGTTTAGGGTTTACTTGTTACAATCCGAAAGGATCCCAGGTATCTAGATTTACCGGTTTAGGGTGTAGCATCGAGGGTATATGGGAGATAGGTATCCACACACCAAATCTAGAAGCCCTACTTTGTACTACCTGCTATAGACCCTAGATTGTAGCCTCCTTGCCGCATTACAAGGACCCCTAAAAAAGATAAGCAAGGGACCCCTGACTCAACGCAACTTACCAGGTGGTCTTCGGCTCAGGTTGGGCTTCATTACTTCCCCAAGAGGCCAAGGAAATTAAAGGTCAAACTTTCAGATTACTACTAAATTATAAGAACCCAAAAATGTTGAAAGGTTGGCTATTGGAGAACTAAGTTCTGGCTACATGTTAAGGCGGTGTAAAGTGCTCGAACTTAAGGTTCTGGCAGCTGTAAGCCTGGGCATCAAGATCTGGAGTTCATACTGTAACGGTTTAGGGTTCAGGGTTTAGGGTTTAGACCTAAACCCTAAACCCTAAACCCTATAAACCCTAAACCCTAAACCCTAAACCTTAGGATTTTAGGGTGCAGGAGTTTCAGGCTCCGGGGTTTGGCGCGGTGTGAGTTCCAAGGTATAGGGCGTAATCGAACTCAGAGGCTCCAAAACCCTTTAGTCATCCTTGAAGCCCAGTACCCTGGCCCAAAAAAGTTTAAACTTTTCTTTTAGTGAGGGTTTAATATACCAAAAAGTTTAAAGTTTACCTACTGGGCTCCTAAGTTATAGTTAAGGAATATAGGTTTAGAGATTAGAGTTTAGGGTTGAGGGTTTAAAACATTGATAAATATAATGAGGTTCCCTCATAGTTTAAGGTATACTCCTTATCTTAAGGGATTTTATGGAGTTTCTAGGAAGCCCTAAGCCCTAAGGCGTTGAGCTATCCTTGGTGCTGGCACTCTTCTCAACGGTCACACCGGGCAGCATGTGCACCTGAGATGCTCAGGTTCAGGGTTTAGCGTTAAGGGGTTTAGGGGTTTGGGGTTTAGCATTCAGGGTTCAGGGGATAGGGGTTCAGGGGATAGGGGTTCAGTGTTTAGGGTTCAGGGTTCAGGGTTTAGGGGTGTAGGGGTTTGGGGTTGAGGGATTGGCGAAGCCTTACAGCCCTAAAGCCCATCCTAAACTCCACAACATAAACCTTAAAAATCAATCCTACTCAAAATCCATAAGCCCTTTACTGCTTCGCTTTAAACCCTCAATCCTCAAGCCCCTGAAGTGCAGAGACCGTAGAATTCTTATGGAGCTCTTCCAGATGCCCTGCAACAGAGTCCTTTACACGATCCTGTAGAAACCCTTATAGAACCTTATAGAAATAGAAACTCCAATGCCATAAGCCCTAAACCCTAAACCCTAAACCTTGTAGAACCCGATGGAGAAAGGAAACTCCGATGGGTGCTCCAAGTCACGGTGCGGACCACCTTCTCACCCAAGAAGTTCCGGATCTCGATGGTCTGGCCAAGCGAAACTTGCTAAGGGTTCATCAAGGGTTTAGGGTTTAGGGCTAATATATGGGTTTTAGGGTTTAGGGTTTAGGGTTTAGGCGCTTAGGGTTCATCACGGGGCTCTGTTTTGGCTTCTATCGGGTCTCAGCGTAGTTTCTGCTGGGTTCATATAAGGATTTCTCTACAGGTGTACCAGGGTTCTATAACAGGGATACCCTAAACCCCTAAACCCCTAAACCCTAAACCTCAACCCCTAAACCCCCCTAAACCCCTAAGCCCTAAACCCTAAACGCTAAACGCTAAACCCCTAAACCCTAAAACCTAAAAGTTTAGGGTGGATAAGACTCAGATTGTGAGCTACGGCCAACGACTGTCACTAAGGTATCACAACTAAACAAAACTCGAAAGGACCCAGGACATAGGGCTTAGGGTTTGGGGCTGTAGGGTTTGGGCTGTAGGGTCTAGACTTCAGGGTTTGGGGCTTTAGGGCTTAGGGCTTTAGGGCTTTAGGGTTTATGGTTTAGGGTTTAGGGCTTTAGGGCTTTAGGGTTCAGGGTTTATGATCCTGAGTAAACCCCCCCTATACCGCCCTACCTAATTATGGCTGTAGCTCACGCGGGCAGTTCCTTCAGCTGCGCTCCATTGTAGGGGCCCTTACCCTAAACCCTAAACCACCCTAAACCCTAAAACCCCTACTCTAAACCCTAAACCCTATACCCCCCTAAACCCTAAACCCTAAACCCCTTAAACCCTAAAACCTAAACCCCCCTAAACCCCCCTAA